TCAAAGAAAGTTATCCTAAGTGACTCTTTAAGTACAATGAACAGTATAAAAACAATACAAACTCAAGCGACATTTCAATTATTATATAAAATAAACTCGACGAAACTAAAACTAACCAAAAACCTATTTCACTCATATGGATCACCAGTTACACTGGTATTAAAGGTAATGAAATTGCTGACAAACATGCCAAAATAGTAATAATAAACAGCAAACCCAATTGTACCATACATTATAGGTCACATTCCTTTAAAAAAAACTCTAAAAAATTATGACATAAATGTCAAATGTATTAAAACGAGCAAAATACCAAACTAAACTTAATTAAGAACAGATGGGAAAACCCAAACTTTAAACGAAACAGAAATTGTTCCAATAATCGTCTGCGAAAAGGACACACCGAATAACCGGCCTATGTTGATACCTTATTTATATGGAAAAGGGTGAAGCTGATATGAAGTATAAAAAGGTGAGACACGTGGTATACTGGGGTCAGGCTAAAAATAAAACATATCCTAACCGAATACCGCAGGTTCCATTAGGACTGATTCAACCTCGAAATATTCGAAAACCTCGAATTGTCCCTTGGACCAAATCTAGATCAAGGTAATTTAATTATTAAGTTTTAAAATCAAAACCACATTTTAAAAAGCAATACTCTAATCCAACAACAATAATTTTTTTATTGTATTTTTAATTGTTTATACTTTATTATTAATTAGTACCATTATAGTAATCTATATCAAACCTGATATTAAAACAACATGTAAAACAATGTAACTAATAGCAATTGCTGCCATTTAAAAAAATATATATATATTTATAAATAATAACCGATGAACTATATTCGTTCAAAAATAAATGCATAGATGATTTACAACGATACATATATTTCCCTAATTCGGCAAACTTAAACAAAAACAAATTTTCAATTGAGTATCATATTTTTAACGACACATAATGATCACAATGACACAAGTAAGAAATTAACAAATACGAAACATTATTTTATACTTATAATAACTTGTCGGGTTGGTTCAGGTTGCTAAAGTTCTAAGTAACAAACGAACTATAAGAATATAAGATAATATTGTATAAAAGCTCCAAGACATTAACATACGTTTATCCTTGCACGTGTTCAAGGAGTAATAGGTATAACAATATAGGCATAATATTATACCTACACGACTTACTATGTGAAAGATATTTCAATACAGTACAACCATCGGATGAGAATTGTTTTCGCATAATTATGTACGTAACTAATCTTTTTCGTTATGGTGAATTGCGTAGGAATTGTATCCACGTTTAATTTACCTACATTCTTATCAAATCCTCATTTATAATATAATATAATATGACCTTGTGCCTAATTGATTTCTAGGTTGAAAATGTTTGAATAAAGTGCATCGGCTATATTATATTATAATACGTAGACATTTTCATAGTGGGTCATCACTTTAAAAGTAATAATTAAGTATGTTGTTGTTTTTGTTAAAGTACAACATAATTATATGATATTATATAGTTATGATTTTGGTTCAAAAAATATTGTAATTATTTTAATACACCGGAAAAAAGGACTCAAGACAGCAGTGCAGTGTAGTTAAAATGCCTAACCGAAACGCCGTGTTACAATTAATTAATTATTATTATTATTAAATATATATTATATATTTATTATTAAAAATAATAATAAACAATACACTATAAATTGATACCGGAAAAACTCAGCCCGTTAGCCTCCCCACCACTTGCGTACGCCATTGTCTAAAATTATTTATCAATAACATATTAATAACTCTTCAATAACATCTTAGGGGGTTTGTTTATTTAAATACAAAGGGGTAAATTTATAAAGTAGACGCGTTTCAATTATAGGTTGTATAACAGTTAAATGTGTTAATATAGTACTCATAACCATGTGTGGACTCATACAGTCATACATACATTAAGAAATGCGATTTCAGAGTAGTATTTACGGTAACACATCGCGAATTACTTTGTAATGTGTTAATTGCGCGCTACTTATAATAATAGGTATAGGATTTTATATATTGTTCTTAATATAAAATTTGACGCTTACAATATTTTGTTTCAACATATTTTAGTGGGTTCGTCGACGTTTACAACATTTTACCCGAATGATATATAATATTATACATATATGTTACCCACCATTTGACCTTATATAAAATGCACATACAAAATAGTGAAATGTATTGAATTCGACTCCCAAACTGAACGACGAAACTGTAAAAGTTTTGTAGCTATGATTATTTTGTTGTCAAAAAAACACTTTGGTTATATATAGAAAAAAGTCTTTCTATTCCGTCAATAGTTTATTTATGTATAAATAAATTACGAACGGTGTACGCTCTTTTTACAAAAGAAAACTACTATGAGATAATAATACATTATTTTAATTCGTTTTCTACAAACGTGATTCGTATATATATGCAATTTGTTTAGTGCTTACAAGTATAAAATAGTATGGTCATTAGTCATTACTCATTGGTCACACACTATATCTCTCTGATAGGCTCTGATAGGCGATTCTATATAATGATGACAACTACCGACGATAAGTCATTATGCTTAAAATTATAAATAAAACTGCAAAAGGATATCTCTATGAATTTTCATCAATCCGGTGTGGTATTTTAGCCTGCAGGTGTACCAGGCACATGCAGCCAGATAATAGTGTACATGTGCATGAAGAAATAGTATGGAGGTATAGTAATGCTATAATGTGGTCCCTCGTCCTCATGAGGTGGTTCATAAAGGAAAAAAAATAATGTATATATTGGGGTGGCATAACAGTGGCAAAAATCTATCCATATAGGGCATAGCTAATGTTTTATGCTCACCCCCCTTACCAACAAAAACGTACAACCTTATAAAAAAATAGTATATTATGTATATAATATTATAATGTACGCAACTCACTATTCTAGCATATAGGTAAGTACATAAGAAATAGTATATACATAACTTTTATAGATTTTAAAAATATTATATTATACCTACTAGCAATTTTATGAGCGACGTTATAACTTAAATGATCTCGAAGATATCATAGCAACATCTAATTTAATTATAATTAAATATTTAAATACCCAGTTATTTTATTAAAAATAAAAATTTTTATAAAATAATATAACGATGAAATAAATTGTTCAAACTCCGAACAACTTTACTCAGCAATAAACATAAATTGTGTTTTAAACATTTGCAACTATTTAATTTTCACTTATCTTGCAGGTCTAAAACTATATTATTATTAAATTAGTCCACTGTAAAATGCTTAGGTACTGCACGATACATAATACGAATAATACATACATTTGAGGAAGGCTAGGTTAAATAGAATTGTATAAAGTTCTTATCTTAATATATATAGCTTTTAAGTGGGCCAAACCTAATCAATGGCGTATGGGCTGATATTGATAATTTACACGTACACTACCACTCACCTGGCAAATACGAAGGAGAAATGTATATAATATATGGGTAAAGTAATCATATTATATTGATGACGTAATCGTATTATCTCAGATCTAAACGAGTTTAAATCGGTTAATTTTGTAATTTTATTTTTCCAATTATAATTGCTACACTGTACCGCCTGTAACTGTTGATAATAATTGTTTATAATCAACCAAATATTAATTGCTTGTGCAGTAAACAATATATAAAACAGTTCGCGTGATAATCGGTTGTTTAAATTGAAGATAAAGTATGAAATCCGAGAATAACTTACGATTGTCATACTATAATATTTGTACATGATTTCGGGCGGCGTTTTTCCAACGACCTAAAACCGATTTTACCTCAAAGACGAATCGATTATTGGTACAATCACTCTTTATAGATGGATTTGCGAATAATTATTTGGAAAATGAAATGTTAGTAAGTTGTTTCTATTTTCTCTCTCCCCGCTCACTACGCTCACTACGCCCACTCGAACGATCTGTGATCTGCACACCGCATCCAAATCTGGGGCCAAGCAAAACCGTCCAACATTCATCAACTGGAAGTATTTCAGGCGATCAGTTTAAGACTAATTACCGGAAGCAATCACGGCATGACTCTAACCTAAATTTACACAATGGAGTACACATCCCCAAACTAAAAAAACTAGACCCTTAGGGGTTGATTTAAAAAAGACTCAAGTAGCCAATGTCCTTTCTCAAGGTTCGTGCTATCTTCATAGTCCATAACAAATTTTTCGAAAATCGGTTCAGCTGCTTATCCGTGAAAATGTAAAAGTCAGACAGAAATAATATTATAGGTACCTAAGAAGTCCAACGAATACTTAGGCCGGGGCTATACACGGCGTATTGCGCCGCGTTTCCCGTCGAATTAAAAACGTATTGGTTTAAATCGGAGCAGCTATACACGACGGGCGTAATACGTCGCGTTTCCGCGGTGGAAAACGCAAGCCGAACGTCGTTTTTTGCCGCCCCGAAAAACGCGGCGTATTACGCCCGTCGTGTATAGCTGCTCTGATTTAAACCAATGCGTTTTTAATTCGACGGAAAACGATGCGATACGCGGCGTAGAAACGAGGCGGAATACGCCGTGTATAGCCCCAGCCTAGTATACGATAATATTATAGAAAATATTTAGCAATTTACATTATAACTGCGCACTCTGTACAATGAGTTTGGTACTATGGAACGTCGTCAACAGTTTCATTTTGTGACTCGTAGATCTCACCATCGAATCATACGATTCATTGATAAAAACCAACTGATGGAATTTCTGTGATTATAATAATTAGAAGAGTTATCACGTCTTATCACTATTAAATTATATTAGATACATAATTATTGTTTACACCCGTTCGACGTTACAGCACAAGCCACAAATGCACAATCACAAGTCGCTACGAGTGCGGTCGGACCTGTTTCGCTGTAGACGTGTCGTTTGGAAAACATTTCATCGAAACGAGTACAATCTCTTCGTGAACGTCTCGAAGAAAGTAAAGAATAAAAATGGATGGATTAGTGCAGTCGGTAGTGTACGACACGTCGTCTCCAGCAAACATTTATTCTGCAACGGTAATGCAAAAGGTCGACGGCGACCAAAAGATTGTTATGATTGCATCAAAAAAAGACATGATCACTCTGGAGTCGAAGATAATAGACGATAAGGTCGAAACTTCTATCGTGGAACTCAATTTTTCAAATATTCCAAGTGAGTCTTAGAACTGCAATGTTAACAGAAGTTTTCAGTATCTCATGATTTGAATTATTTTAAAGGTAATGCAGAGATTATTTCTATACACTGCATAAACAGATGTAAGGAGTTTGATGATTTCGTTTTCGGAATAACATATGCATTGGTATGTACTTTATGACAACATATGTTTAATTTACAAGTACACAATGATAGAATATCTTAATCAAATAAATGTACCTATTATTGTTATTCAGGTCAGTTCTTAATATTTAAGTTTCTTATGAAGTATACCTACCTAACCTAACCCTTTAATATTATATATTTAAACCTCAACCTTCCTTATAAATTAAAACTAAGTTCATAACTGAGCAGCAAAAAATTATTTTCTTTGAACATTGGATTATAATATTTCTTTAGAGTTATCATTTTCATACTTGATTGTCTTCATCCATCTTGCATTATTATCTTCGATCCATATTTAAAATATTAAATGTTGTTTAGAATTAAAATTTTATAAAATCATAAAAATTGTATACCCAATCAAACATTTAAATATATTTATATTTATACATTTTATTTGAGTATTTATTGTATATGAAAGAAAATTTGACTACCTTGTACCTACTCCTAATACAAAATTATGTATTTTGGATGCATGGAAACTATTTTGTTTTTACACAATAGACACAGAAAATACAAGTTTTAGCATATTAAGCAATACTGTCACGAATAAAATAACTGCTTTAGTGCCTAAGAAATAAAAAGACTTAACTAATATTATGTAATTTTTTGTTATTAATGAATTATTAAGTTATAAATTATAATTCAGAAAGTGTTTATGCTAATAAATGTGTATTGTGTTCTAGATTGTAGAAGATGAAGAGCCTGAAACGGCTGAAACATACTTAAACATATACTCAGGATTTCCTGGCTCCTCATTAGAGGCTATAATGGAAAATTGTAAAACACTTAAATTGGATTTTGTTCCATTTCAATTGAACCATGCCATTTATATGTCAGAATTGCAAAAAAATGTAAAATACTATTAATTTTTGTTTTACATTCAGATTTGTAGTTATTTAAAACAAATACTTATAAACCTCTAATGGTGTATTGGTAAATAAATTGTATACTAAATAATATTATTATGCACTTCAAAAATATTTCATTCTGAATTTGTTTACAATTTCATTCAATACACCAATAATTTCATACATTTGAACTCGATTGACAATTTTAATTGATATGGTACATTAGTGCTTAATTATCACCAAACTCGTAAAAATTTAAAAATAAAATATACATAGAAACCTTTGAACATCAAAATCAACAATTTATGTGAGATTAGCGAGTGATGATGACAAATTTTACCTCAAGTATCCCGTATAATAATAGTTTTGTTACAAGTATACGCAAAAAAAAACAACAGATAATATTATTATACACTATTAACTCTCCAATACACCACTGTGAACTCCTGTTTTCAATATTGTTTGAAAATAAATTATAGTTAAATAAAAAATAATATTTTGCTACCACTCCTGTCAGTGGACATTTTATTTTTATATTATAAACAACTGCATATTTTGCTATGAGATTAATTAAACTTTTAAACTAAGATACATAAATAACCTTATTTATATAATTTAGGGCATGTGGTTGTTATCAGGAAGTGATAAAAAAATACACGCTTATAAGATTGAAGAACAAGAAATTCTTGAACAAAAAGTTGAAGAATATTTTATTGAATTTGAAGATACAAAAGACTCCATTGTTCTGTGTTTTGGTACCAAATCATTAAGCGACTACAAAAAGTAAATCATTATTTTTTATATTTAAATTTATAAAATTAAAAAGTATCTCAATGTTGTACTATTTTAGAAGATTATCGTATTATGGATGTGAAACAGGATATTCAATGTTAGCAATAGTAGATTCAGGGAAAAATCAGATACTACATTGCTTTTTAGAACGTTATGAGTCGCCAATAACAGTCATGCAATTGTTCAACATACATAAAAAAACCGTTGACATTGACAACATTCTCTCAGGTGTTTTAAAATAAAAAAAAAATGCTTACAGTAGAACTTTGATAGTCCAGGCCTTCTGTAGTTTGGCGTATGCACTATAAGCGGTTGTCTGGACAGCATATTAATCCATTCATATTCAATAGTAACTTATGAAACAAATTTATCTACTTCAATTTTGTTTTTGGAATCTTCTCGCGCTTGTTGTACCGTGTGTATAGTTCAAACTTGTTTTGACATTAAAATTGAGAATATTACTTAAATTGCCAATTTTTTCCTCATTTATAATGAAATGTAATTAATAAATAATAATATTTTTTTTTAATCAGAATTGATAAGTAAAGTTGATAGGACAAAATTTCTTTATCATTAAGTACCCTAGAAAAACTTCTAATAATCTAGGCAACACCAATTTGTCTTATTTAGTCCTGACTATCAGGGTTCCACTGTTCTTTAATAAATACCATTAACTTCTCACTAATTAATATATAATATTAATTATACACAACTTATAGCAGTCAAAGATGATTTCATACCAGATTGCGACACTGTAGATGAAAAGGAACAAGTCTGTTTACTAGTAGGGAGTGCAGTTGAAAGTGCTGTTGTATATATGCAAGTACTGGTAACTTAGTTGTATAAAATAATGTTTATTTTTTTTTAAATTAATAATGAACATATATTATAATTGTTTAAGGAATGTGTTGAAAAACGATTTAAGAAATGCAATTACATTGACCGATAGCAATAGACACCAAGCTATTGTGTGCGCTTTAATCACAGATGTAAATTTTGATTCCAAGAACGAAATACTACTTGGGACTTATGGAAATGTAATTTATATTAAACATACATCGATATATCAAATACTAAAATCATATATAATAAGATTATAAAATTATAAAATATTATTTGTTTTAGTATATTTTAAATTATGTCTACGAAAATAACAATTGGGTGGAACAACAACAATTTGATATGAGAGACTCAGTATATACAATTTGTTATTTAGATATAGCTGGTGAAGGAGTGAATGATGTAGTTGTAATGAGTGAAAGAGGAATACATATTTTAAAAGTAAGTTATCTATTGAATAATATCACATTATATCTTCTTTGGATTTTATTAATTTTAATGTTAAAACTTGAGGGCAAAAAATGTATTTTATTATCTTGAGTAATAGATACCTAATAAGAAAACTACCTTAGGTAGAGGAAAAAATCTGTGGAAGTTTCCTCAGTTTGCATGCTTAAGACTTTCATCTTCTTAACTGGATATATACATTTTTAAGTGTTCTTCAATATATTATTATTGTAAAAAATAAATTGACTTAAAAGTTATAAGTCATTACTCACTACCTTTGTCATTATTCGTCATATAATATTGTATAAAAATTTTTCTGTTGCAGCATGAACCTAGGCATGTAGTTGAAGTACTAAAAAATCGTTTAAAACTATAGAAAGTTGGAGAAAAACTGAAGCTATTACGTGAATTTAAGATGATAAATATATGTTTGTGTTCATAAATTGGTGGTATTTTTTTTTTTTTTTAACACTCAATATAATATAATCATGACCACTTTGAAATGTATTTACAGTTATATTAATTTGTATTTATGAACCAAAAATGCTTCAGAAGCTGTCACACCTTCATATACATCTTTATAATTTAAAATAAAAGATTTTATAGAATATAAATTTTCTATATTTAATTAAGTTTTAGTATAGTATAAAAATGAAGATAAATGGTAGGCTGAGAAATTCATAAATTAAAAAAATATTTTATATTTTAAACAGAAATGTCTTAAAACATAATCAATATACTTATACGATTATAACTTAAGTCTAAAGCCTTCAAACATTATGTACTATGTAGTATGTAATTTGTATTATAAATGGTTACATAAGTTTTACTTTTATGTGTGGGAAAGTATATTATAACATCATGGTTCTGTACTAAACCAATATTTTTAAAATTTTAAATAAGCCAAAAGTATGTTATTGATGTCAATATTTGTATTATTTTTTTTTTTTTTTGTTATTAAGGGGTTACCTATTAACATTTAAATCGATTTCAATAGAAATGCCGTTATATCATATCGCTCAGAAATCAGAATCATTTTTTTATGCAATGATTTATCATTGAATTTAAACTCAACCCATACATTACAGTGACTTACTTAAGGACCCTGCAAACCTTATTCATCTTTCATCAAAATGACCTTAGTGACTGACAAAAATTAAAGTACTTCTAGTGGTTCGATTTAAATAACGTAAAGATGTTTTAATTGGTCAACAAGTCTATTTTGCATCGGTTGGAGTATATTTTTTATATTTTAGATATTTTTGAATATATTCAATACTAAAAATTTATAAAATTATAAAATGTCAAATATTTATTCTTGCCAAAAATTTGCTAAAATTGAAAAAGTGCTCCGACCGATGCAAAGTAAACTTGCTTACCAACACAAACATCTTTACATTTTTTAAATCGAATAACTATAGAATTACCTTAATTTTTGTCAGTGCGACGGCTATTTCACGTCCATAAATTGCGGCCTCCACACGAGTTTTTTCTCAGTGAGGCCCATTAATCTGTCGATATTAATTTAAATAAAAAAATAAAAAAAATAAATTGGTTTTGAATATTTTGATCTAGACATTGAAGGACTTGTCAATGTGGGTGCGTGCGACCATAAACCAGATAAGAAATAACAATGTATTGTAAATTGATGCGGGTGATGGTAGGGGAGTATACACACACTAATGATCGTTCACTACACAACAAAGACGATCAGTAATCGCAGGAACGATATAATTGCCTAAACACAACTCTTTAAAAATGACACATTTTCAGGGGCCTTAATGATGAGGCATACATGACACCTATTGACTACTGTACCCCAAACATGTTAGGTACTACTTTCTCAGAGCATAGAGTTAATTGGTCTATATACTAGTGAAATATTAAATTAATAAATTGTTTATACCCGGCATAAATTAATATGTCTAAACTAATAAGTTAAAATAGTAAATAAACCTATGTACATAATATTACAATTTATAACACAATATATTATAATATTCAGCACAATATATCAATATTAGTACTTCGGAATTATATAATATTATATATTTATAAAATATGTAACAAACCCTTTGCATAACACAAGATCAATCAATCAACTTTTATGGGTAGCATTAGACATATTGATTATGATGATCAAGTATTTAATACTAAATTCAATATATACAAATTAGGATATAACTTTTTTGTGAAAATGTAATTTTTTCTCCAAATTATTTTATTTTCAAATAAAAAAAAACATATACATCATAAGTAATAACTAATAATAAATACTACAATAAAACTTGTGGCCTTTAAAATAAAAATAATATATTTGAGCAATTATAATGAAATGATGTATTGAGTACATAAATAATAAGTAAGTAATAAGTAAGTAATATTGACAAATTACAATTTAAGCAATAACAATATAATATAAAATAAATAATATAAGTACCTACAATTAGTAGCACCGTAAAATCAATTCCTAATGAAAATAAAAAAAAAAGACTAAAGTTGACAGTTTTTATTAAAAAAATATCAATGTTTGAATCAAAGTAAACATGAATTTCTTGTTGCATTAATCTAAATGATTGATTATAACAAATTACTTAGTACTACTAACTAAAAGAATTCAAATAATAAATAACAAAAATATAAATTCTTAAACCTCTTGGGTATTCCATTTGAAACAATAATGGTAGTTGGTTCCACCATTTCAATTATAATATGTATGGAATGAACGCATATCTTTCCTTAGGATACATTTTGAATTTTGATTGATACCACCAATGATTAAGCATTGCAGACTCACACTGATTACTCAATACCCAAAAAAAAATGTAAGGCCAAATCTGACTTCCCCAAAGCATGATGTATACGGCCATATACATAAGCATTTCGCAAAACAAATGAGGACAAGATATTTTGTCAAATAAACCACCAGTTGGAATTTTGTGTTCATATGTTATAACTTTTCCTTCTCTATCTGTTCTCAAATTAACCAAATTTACATTTGCCAAATACTGTTGTTGGAAAGCCCACAGAAAGATAATAATTCCAATGATCAGTCTAATGTTTATATCATTAATTAAAAAGTAGGACTGATGATCAACAGAAAGTGAGGTGAAAGGCGAAGGTGCTTCAGCTAAAATGGCAGCTATGCAACCAAAGTAGTGTATATATCCAATAGCATAATGAGAAATATTAATTTTCGAATTTGAAAAAATACTTAAATAATGAGTTTCATAAAAACGCTTCCAGCACTGGATTAGCATACATAACATGGCAACAGTAGTAGCAGTTGCATTGTATGAAGTCCGTCGATTCTTTAGTGCTACCATGTCCAAAAAATGTGTTATGAATTCAGGAACAGGCACTTTGAACACGAAAGCTAGTATTACTAATACAAATCCAAGTGTCGACCACATAGCAGCAAATACGTAAAAGTGTTTGAACCAATTTTTTGGTACTTCCAAGTAGTTGACCAAGAAATGTTTCTTTTCACTTGAAAATTTACCATACCTGAATGTTTGCACTATAGACACTGGTAATTTAGATTCAATTAAATTAATTAGAACACTTAAAATGACGATTGAAAATGCCATAAAGGCAAAAATAATTTTTAAAAAAGAAACGTCCATGTTGATCGATTAAAACATCTACCTATTCTGAATGAAATAGGTGGGTTAGTATTCAGAAGAGAAAAGAGAAATTCTCCATAATTACGTTTACAGTTAGCTGATGTTTTCATTTACGATTTACAGTTATTTTTTAAAAAGGTTTAGAAGTGGGAAAATTTGATAAAATGATCACCTGTTTTCTGCCATCCACAAATACTGTGCACGTGTCCCTCGATCGTCCAAATCTTTTTGCATATAAGCTCGCACTGGTTTAAAGCACAATAAGTATGGAATATACTTCGAATTAACTTAAATACAATGAACAATAAAGATAGCACTTGATGAATAAAAAAAAATTGTTTACGAAATTTGCTTTCAAATGTATATAAAATATTAAATAACAGACCAGAGTCCACGACTGTCCACAGCCAATAAAGATAAACTGATAAGCTCTAATGGTTTTGGGCGGTCTTAAGTACTTTGATAACACGGATGTTATGTTTTTTTATCAGTTATTTAAACATTTTAAATAAATATTTATTCTGTCATAAATCGTAATACCTATAAAAGCCAGAGCCCGGTATACTGCCGGATTAAATGGATTTCATCTATTCTGACTTTTTGTTATAAAAATTTTACATTTGTTCCGTAGGACAACATACAATAATAAGAAATTATGATTTATGATTATACAATACGGTCAATACTTATCAATAAAATACAATAATTTATCAAGATTAACTTTTATAATTTATAGCTAAAGATTGAAAATGTAAAACATGGTAAAATACTGATAGAGCGCGCTACCCAATCGTTTGTTGTCTTCGCCCACGACACGGTCTTAAAAGTTAGAAGATATCTATCTCGGATCTCCTAAGACCGTGGCCGGAGGCGTATTAGGAAACCCAGGACGCCACAGAGCGACGAGCCTACAAATGCCATATAGTTATCGGTAGTTTCGGTGGCAAGTATTACTGTTGCGGAGCCACTGTTGTTCATGCATTAATTCGATATCTACGTGTGTGATAAGATAACATTAAAATAATTACCGCGTGAATTTAAATATTATAATCATTATTATTAATACAAGTAAATAATAAAATTGAGTATTGTAATTTTTATATCCTAAATTAAAATTATTATACTTATAACAAAAAATGTAAGAATAATTCTAACATGTCCTACGAAAAAAAAAAATAATAATAATAATTTATTAAACTTTATCTAATACGTCCTACAAAAATATAATACAACATAAAATTAATATAATTAATTTTAATTCAATATTGTTTGTTACTTTTTTTTTACAGTTCATTACCCGAACATAATTCATAATAATGAATAATTCAAATTTATCTTGATTGTAATACAGATCATTGATATTAAACTATTAAAGATACAATTATATACAACGCGGGAATTCCTATACATGGACAATGTATATAGATAAAGTTTAATAAATTATTATTATTATTATCTTTTTTTTTTTTTTGTAGGACGTGTTAGAATTTTCATTATTACATTTTTAGATTCTGAGTGAAACGATGAATGTATTGATTTTACAATGATGTGTGTTTTTTTTTATTTTTTTTTTGTGTCTGTGTACACGATAAGTAGTCGAAATAATGCTTCGATTTTCGACTTCAGTATCTTGTTCGATTGGAAAGTCAATATCGTTGGTGCATTGGGGAGGTCAAAATATAAAATTCTCAGTACTTTTCAAAAGCGCCAAGAAAAACAAAAGAAAAATTAAGGAAAACCGGGAATTTTTACTCAAAATCGATTTTTCAGAAAATTGAATTTGGTTTTTGGTGTAACTTTAAAACAAATGACCGTAGATACATGAAATTTTCACTGGTTGTTTATATTTGCATTTTCTATACACGATAACATTTTCAAAATATTTTGATTTATTTTGAACTGTTTAGGGACATTTTCATTTTTCATTTTTTTTTTAGTTTTTTTTCTAGAAATATCAATAAAATTTTATTGTTGGTTAAAAAAACTTGAAAATTTAATAGAATGCTCCTAGTATATTGTTTCAAAGGCAGATGAAAAATATTAAAAATCGTTAGTCACAGTTTTTTTTTATAAGCATTTAAAGTTCAAAAATTGACAAAATATGGAAAAATCACGAACATTTGCAAATTATTTTGAGTTAAGAATTCGTAAAAATTTTTCTTTTTAAATCTAAGATTTGAAAATGTAAAACAAGATTACTGATAAGTTTATCTACCTTTATCAATAAAAAAATCTCTACCGGACAGTCAAATTAAAGTTTTATGAGCGTTTGAAATTCAAATTTTTACAACATAGGATGTTCACTCGATTTCTCATGTAGCGATTTCCTTATTTTGTTGTTATTCATAAACGAATAGTTATAGATACATTAAAATTTCACTGAATGTTCAGATTAGCATTTCCTATACACTGTACAATTTTGAAAATATTTTGACTCTTTTTGAGCTGTTTACGGACATTTTCAGTTTTCAATTTTTTTAGTTTTTTTTTCTATGAATATCAATAAAGTTTTATCTGTTGGGCCAAAAAGTGTAAAAATTTAATACAAGGCTCCTGATATAGTGTTACAATATCAGTTGAAAAATATTAAAAATACATAGGCACAATTTTTTTTTATAAGCATTTAAACATCGAATTTTGGCAGAATTTTTCAAAATCTCGAAAATTATTAATCATCGTAATTAATAAATTATAAAATGTTCAGTTTTTATAGCTAAGGATTGAAAATTTAAAACAAGATTCCATGTAAGTAGTTAATTCTCTTACTGAAAAATCTAAAAAATATACAATCACAGTTTATTTTTATAGTCATTTTATGTTCAAATTTGGACGAAATTACATATTAAAAAACCTAGTTATTTTGTTGTGATTATATAATATTATTCGAGGGTACCTACTTGAAACTTCTAAAGTGTACTATTATATATCTATGATAGTATCAGGGTTTGTTATTGATGTTGATGTATAACGTGTTATAAGTACCTAATGGATATTGTGATAATGTGATTAGATTAATTTGGAATTTATTATAGGTCAATTTTTTTTTTTAATTCCATAGATATGTATATAATTTGTCTTAAACCTAGACTGACATACCGTCTTCGCTCAGAATCGTTTTTCTTATACAATGATATTGTATCATTGAATTCAAATTTAATAGCATCCATTATACAGTGACCCACTTGTAACCTACTGTACAGCAGAGCGACATCCACTTACCCACCGTTTTTTTTTAAGTATAAGTATAATAATTTAGATTTAGGATATAAAAATTACAATACTCAATTTTATTATTTACTTATATTAATAATAATGATTATAATATTTAAATTCACGCGGTAATTATTTGAATGTTATCTTATCACCGACGTAGATATCGAATAAATACATGAACAGTCTTTATACAAAATAAAAATCATTTAAAAACAGAAACCTTTCTATATTAGCCATATTAAAGTCAAATTATAACAATGAAAATAAATATAATTAAAAATTACATTAATTAAACACAATTCATTTGTGTAATAGGTATGTGTTGCTGAGGTGTGATTACAACTTAAGATGTATTTTTATTTTGTATAAAGAATTTAAATAACTGCCAGTAGTTTGTTTTAATAATATATAATTATAATTTTTACGCAGCTTAAATGTTATGTGTCGTGTATTGATCAGCTTTTACTAAGTCAATTTGTATATCCTAAGATGTACACAACGTGTTTAGTAAAAGCCCGATTAAAATTTAGAATTTCAGCATTTACTGAGTACAAACAGTAAAACCTAGCATTAACTAGTAAAACCTAGGTTTAACTAGTGATCGGGCATTTACGGTAACATATATACCCACTACCCCTTTGAATTGGATAGTAATTTGGTTAGCTTCAGTAGCTACCATTTAATATATTATTAAACTAATCATTGAACACTAGTTCAATTCGTTCCTCTAAAAATAGTTATGTCTTTATTAAAAATACAATATATAGGTATACTAATGTTAGAGCATGAACTTTTAGTAAGGTACCTACCTATTTTAATTAAGAATCTTATATTTTAGTAAAAATAAAACATTTAAGTAAGATTGGTATTTTGTTTCTATGTTAGGAAGAACCTAGACAATCTTTTTAGCTAACACAAAATGTGTGTACAAGTACAATACACTTAGGGCCGTTCTTACGACGTCCGGTTAAAGTTAACCGACACTTAACCGGAAGAATTCTGCCGGTAATAAAATCTGTTATCAGTCGGTTAGCGTTAACCGACACTTTACCGGACATTGTAAGAACGGCCCTAAGTCCAGTAAGAAATGTTCACTCTGAGGTAGGTATAGGTAGGTACCTACTAAAGTAAAAAATAAAAATAACTGTGTAGAGATCACATTCTACATTAATTTATTGAATTATAATAACATAATAATATTGTTTAATATTAGTTAGGTACCTTTTCCTGCTAAATAGTTATTTTGATTTGTTTAAATTAAATAATATAATATAATATTAAATTAATATTATTAAATTAAATTAAATTAAATTATTTGATAAATGATAAAAAAAAAGCGGGCAATTTGAAATGGGCCAATGAGAACGTGGTATACACATAGGCGTGCGCACGGCGTGCGCACCTAGGCTGCATCTGCTGTGTCTGTGGCGCCAAATGTTTTCTATTTTTCTGCGTGTTTGTGATACGATTGTCGATTATACTTATAATGATTATTATATCCATTATTATTCGTCATTTTTATTTACAAAAGAATCGACCTGTTGAAACTTTAATTGGACTAAAGCGCATGACATCAGTTGACGCAGAATCAATTTTTAATATGCTAACTTCGGTGTTACAACAATTTTCTAAAGACTGGTCTACAGTCTTAGCTGTTTGTTTCGATGGAGCTAGTACAATGTCTGGTAGCATATCTAGAGTGCAGGCAAGATGTAAACAAGAAAATAATAATATATTTTATATCCTTTGTTATGCTCATTGTTTAAATTTAGCATTGATTGATAGCATTTGTGAAAAATCTAATACTAAATCAGGCTTAAAAAATAGTTCTCTTATTTTTAACTTCCTTGGAACAGTTCAGTTTGTTTATACTTTTTTAGAAAACAGTCCTATTAGGCATGCTGTATTGGAAAACATAGCAAAAGAGTCTGGCCAGCGGTTTTTAACTTTAAAATCACTTTCAACTACCCGGTGGGCATGCAGGGCTGAAGCTGTTTCTTCTATTAAAAAAAATTATAATATTATATTGTCAGCTCTACATAACATTTGTGATGACTGTACTATACCAGAAATTCAAGAAAAAGGTGGTCTTTTTAAACAGTTGCAAACATTTGAATTTATTTTTAGTTTATGCATGATGGAACCTATTTTGCAAATGATCTTAATAGCAAGCAAGTCGTTACAGTCTTCAAATTTGGATTTATTAACTGCTGTTCAACTGATCAACTCATTGAAAAAATCTCTGATTTCAATGAGGTATAGTGAACAGTATGATGAAACGTTTAATAAATGCCTGAAAATATGTAAGGAACATGATATAGAAATTCCAGAAGTCAGAAATAGAAAAGTATCCACAAAAGTAGACTCCATAAAAAATCAACACATGTTTGTGTCAAAGTCGGAAGAACTAAAAGTAACTGTTTATTACAAAACCTTAGATATATTGATAAATGGATTACATTCAAGGTTCACTCAGGAAAGTCTTGATATGATAAATGCTGTAGGCAATAATATGATAAGTTTAGAAATACATCAAACCAATCTCTATGAAGTACTACAAACAATATTCTTAATCTCTCATGAAGGACTTGTTGCTGAATTAAGGATTTTAAAAAGCGTTCCAAATGGCTCATCAACAAAAGCCGTTTACGATTGGCTAGACTTTTTAAAAGAAAATCAAAGACAAAATGTATTTCCAAATTTTAAAAAGGTTTTAATACATTTTGCCACTATACCTGTCACGAGCTGTAGCTGTGAGAGGGTATTTTCTAAATTACCTATTGTAAAATCAAAACTTCGAAGTACAATGTTGCAAGAAAGACTGGAATCTTTTTTATTATTGTTTGTTGAACAAGAAAAATTAATGAACGTTCAGATTGAAGAAGTGATTGATGAATTCAAATCTATGAATAATGAAAGGGAGCGCAGATTAGTATTATAAGTTATAAATTAGGTTGACTAATAAGTATTTAAAAATTAAATTGTAATTGTTAAAAATTATTTTATTGCATTTTCTGTGTAAAAAATTGTTTTAAATACGAAAAATAAATAGCTATTTATTTTTGGTGTTGACAAATATACAATGTACCTTTTCGCTAAAAATGTGCTTAAAATGTTCCTTGAAATAAAAGTTATATAGAAATATGTGCTGCACCTGATCGGGAACTCTGCGCACGCCTATGGGTATACATAAGACGCTCTGTGGCGTCCTGGGTTTCCTAATACGCTTCCGGTCGCTATGACTGTTTCCAATTTCCATTGAAGGGTTAATGGAACGGTTTTGGCAGGTTGAGGAGCCAGAGGCTGCGTCCGCGACGTTCACAGACGAGGGGCGCTGTGAAAGATTATTTTGTGAACAGTCTACGCTTGCCGTGAGGCCGTTTTTCGGTACCGTTGCCCTTTCGTGCGCCGCCGTCAGCTGATACTTTTGTCGGGTCCCGCGAACTCGCGGTGCGACGTTTTGACGCACTCGAACGTACATTGGCTACAAGCCCTCAATTAAAATCATTATATGTCCAATTCATGTCGGAATACATTTCGCTAGGTCATATGTCCGTCGTGACGTCCGCGGGACGTTATTTTATTCCGCACCACGCGGTGTATCGTCCGGCGATCGATGAAAATAAAATACGCGTTGTATTCGACGCTTCCGCGCAAAGTAGTCGCGGACAGTGGCGTACACACGGGGGGGGGGTTTGGGTGTTCAACCCCCCCCCCCCCTTAAGTATTTTTTCAGTTTACGTAATAACGTAAAAATGTATAATAAAAATGATGACAATTTAAAAAAATATTATATTCCAAATTATACTCCATTATATTATAACTTATAAGTTATAAGCAACCCAGTTTGTTGTTATAATATATTGTAGATATTATTGATAACTTGTTACAAATTAATGAAATTATTGGGAAATTTGTTCAAACACAAACATGAGGGTCGACAATCGTGTAATCCGATATAATATGCCTTAGGCTGGGGCTATACACGGCGATATTCGCAGCGAAATTCGCCGGGCGGATTTCGCGGCGAATATCGCTGTCATCGAAAACCTATATGTTTAAATCAAGCCGGCTATACGATTTCGCGGCGAATTAAATCGCCTCGATATTCGTCGACGGCCGACGATTTTTTTCAAAATCGCCCAATCCATAAAATCGCGTGACCGTTAATTACCATTGCTTTTAATGATAGCGGCTATACGGGTATTTCGGTTTAGCGAATTTCGCGTCGATTTTAACTATATACGGTATTTTTATACAATATTATTGTACATATTATATAGGTATATAATATTATTGTAAAATTGTAAATATCGTATTATATAAATAAACACGATATTATAATATTTTATATATTATTATTAGTTTTAAGTTATTTTTAGTTTTCACCTGGTACGAAAAAGGTATTACTTATTATAAAATTGTAAAACTGAATTATTATTCCGTCGCCTGTCTTTCCGTCAACATGGCTAATTTTGACAACGAGAGACTCATTATGGAAATTCATTTGAAGCCGTCTATTTGGGACACTTCAAGTGAAGAGTACAAAAATAGGGATAAGAAACTTCAAGACTGGCAAGATGTAGCTGCTGCTTCGAACGGTAATTGGGATACACTGAGTAAAACTCAAAAAGATGAATTTGGTAAGTACCTAAACATTTAAACCATTACATTTTAAACTTTATAAACCATGTTTACATTACAGATTTTATATCATTTTTACGAAACATTAAATGCTTTAAACCTATTTTGATTTAATTTGATGTTGGTTAATTAAAACAACAATTACTGTACATAATTTAAAATACTTATATTTAAATTATTATCCTATTTTATTATAATATTTTATTCTACTGAAATATATACGCGCCAACACGTATGGTATTAGATATAGGTATTTTTATTTTTCGAATTATTCATGGACTAATCTCAGATGTATTTTAAATACTTATAATTTATTATTTTTATCCTTTAGTGGTATACCTAGGCGGCTAGGCATATTAAAAGATATATAATAATTTCAAAAACAAAGTAGGTAGGTATGTAAAATAAAATAAAATAAATATTATTGATATTTATTATAAATTTATTTCTTAAGAAATATAACTTTATTTATAATTTATATTGCATTGTACTGCCAATCGAGTTTTCCTTCCGGGCTATCGAAATATGTAGCGAAGTAATCTCGTACATCTCGAGCATTATTGGTTGATCCTCGAAGAGTTAAGTCGATAGACTCTAGTGTGCAGTGAAACATATCATCGTATTCTACTCCATCCCGACGACGAACAAAATTATGTAGCACACATGCTGTTTTTACAATTAATGTAGCAAAATCCGGCTCAACTAAAATTGGTGTATGAAAAACTCTCCACTTGTTTGCTAAAATCCCAAAAGTACACTCAACATAGCGTCTTGCCCGGGTAAGTCTAAAATTAAAAACTCTTTTTCTTATATCTAAATTTTTTCTCGGGTAAGGTCTTAACAAATTTTCATGTAACGCAAATGCCTCGTCTCCAACAATAACAAATGGTTGTTCCTTACCACCATTATCATTTGGTAACTTTTTTTCACAAGGTATATCCAATTGTCGATCATATAATTTTTTCCCTAAAGGTGACTTCTTAAATATATTAGGATCTCCTTCTCTACCATAAGCGCCAACGTCTATTGAAAGAAAGCAATAATTGGAATCTACCAAAGCCATTAAAACAATCGAAAAGAAGTGTTTGTAATTATAATAGTTTGATCCACTCTTTGCTGGGTTTATAATTCGAATATGTTTCCCGTCAACTGCGCCAATGCAATTGGGGAAGTTTGCGTTTTTATAAAATCCTTCTGCTGTCTTTATCCATAATTCTTTAGTAGATTCTGGCATTTCCAAAGGCTGTAATTTTTCCCACAAAGCTGCAAGAGTCTCTTTTATTATCACTCGAACTGTGCTTTTTCCAATTAAAAATCCAAATGTAGTTGATTAAATGTAGCACCCGTCGCTAAATATCTGAAAAGCAATATTCACCAAAAATGTTCATTTTTTTTGTAAATAAATAGCTATAGTAAATTTAGTTAAGGCGGCTCTTAGTGGCTATTATTTAAGGGGAACAATTTAGGCAATTTCTAATCTTGTCGTCGCCGCCCGTAATCTATGTGTTAGTCGTAAATGATTATTAGTGTGAAATTCGAAGAAATTCGAACTCGATAACAATAGATTTTATATCGCCCGGCTGCGGGCACACGGTTCAATAGCACACGTACGCGCATGCACAAGTCAACGTAATCACTCTCGAAAAATATTTTTGTACACTCACAACAGTGAAAAATGCTAATAAGCTGGCGAAAAATACACATACTTCTAGTAGTCCAATTTCAATTTTGAAAAATTATTTGAATTCGTCAGCCTCTTTTCTATGATTTGTAGGAAACCGATTTTGGATATTTTAGATAATTTACGTATATTACGGTTCCAAATGACTGCTTGATTTCTCAAATTTAACTAGCACTTTTAAGTGCTAACTAGACAAAAAGATGAAAAAGTTTTTCCTACAGATCATAGAAAAGAGGCTAACTAATCCAAATAAGTATTCAAAATTGAAATTGGACTACTAGAAGTATGTGTATTTTTCGCCAGCTTATTGGTCTAAATGCATGAAAAATCCAATCGTTTAGAGCCGCCTTAATGAAATACTTTTTTTAGATTCTAAGAGGAGTGATTATTAACAATGTTTTTGTTTCAATTTTAAAATTTTTTTTTTGTGTGTGTGTGTGTGTGTATGTGTGTGTGGCTTGTTTACGTATGTAAGCGTGAAAAAACTTTAAACTTAAATTGTCACCAAAAATGTTAGCATTTTTATACATTCAATTTTCAAAATATTTTTGCTTTTTTTCAGCTATTTTACTATACTATTTGCAATGGCATTTCCAAAATATTGAGATTAATTTTAAGCTATTACATTTTTATATCACTGTTCTACTGTTCTACAGTTAGGGGTAATATTGACTCAAAAATTAATCACAATAATATAATATGATAAAAATATAGCCAATTATTATTATTATTAATTTATATAATGTATGCAATGTTTCCGGAAAAAATTAAATCAACCATCATAATACTAATAGTAAATAAGCCACCTTTTTTATCTTAATTTAATCTAAAGATTTCCAATTTATTATTTGTTCTACAATAATTTTCAAACGTAGGTAGTTACTATATTATAATTCTGTATTCATAAGGCATAAATGGTATAATAAATAAAATATGGTTTTTAATTTAAATAGTGAAAGAAATTATGAAAAGGTGGAAAAACCTACGTGATACATTTAAAAAAGAACATCAACAATATGTTAAATCAGGGTCTTCGATGAAGAAAAAAGCAAAGTATTGTTATTATGACATACCTACTGTCATTTCTTCAGCCAAGTTTAATCGGCAGAACGTAAGTATCAAATACACATTTATTAAACACTGTTATAGCGATTCAATGCTGTGCCTATTTAATATACTTCTATTTCTTAGAAATTTCAAATTTTAAAAAAAGTGGGTAAGTGGATTTCGCTCTGCTGTACAGTAGGTTACAAGTGGGTCACTGTAATGGATGTTTTTAAATTTGAATTCAATGATATTATATCTTTGTATAAGAAATACGATTCTGAGTGAATAAAGTAATTTATATATTATAACCTAATTACGCGGAAACTTGTTTTAAATTTTCAATCCTTAGTTATAAAAGTTGAACATTTAATACATTTTTAACTACAGAATAATTATTAAATTTTAAAATTGATAAATTTTGTCAAAATTTGAACTTTAAATGCTTATAACAAAAAAAATTATGCCTATGTATTTTTAATATTTTTCAACTGCTATTGTAACATTATCAGGAGCCTTGCATTCAATTTTCACACATTTTTACCCAACAAATAAAAAATACTAGTAAAAATATTAGTATTTATAATCAATGGTATTACTCATTATGGTGTAATATTATTATTAATATTCTGTGAATTTCAGAATTTCAGAATCTAAAATACGTATATTGGAAAAAAGTTACAAGTTTTTTTTTATTATTATTTGGGGTTAAGGGTCTATAATATTTTTTTAAATTACAATAAATTTATTATAACCATTATTTTTCGTTTAGTTATCCAAATTTGTCAACATTTGAACTTAAAATATCTTATTAGTATTTTCGATATTTAATAATTTAGTTTAATATTTTAATAAAAAATTAATAATTTTTAATTTATTTACTAATTATTATTTGCAGTACCGAAGGAAACATAGTTCATGAAAATGAAAATGAAATTGAGGACATTAATATCATTGATTCCCCTGGTTCTGTAGAATGCGAAGAAACATTACCAACAAAAGCTGCTACTAAAGTAACACCAAAGCAAAGTAAACAAAAACTTTCAACTTTTCAAGAAAATTTATTGAATGCAATCGAAAAAAATCGAACTCAAACAAAACCAGAAGAATTTGATGAAAACAAACATTTTTTACTTTCCTTGTTACCATCAATGAGAAGGATGAACACCAAAAACAATTTTCAATTTCGAATTGAAATCATGGAATGTATGAAAAAATATTTAACACCAGCTAGTCAACCTCAAACCACTAATCTATCACCCTCCGCCATTCCACAATCACAAAGACCATATTATCAAGTTCCGAATGAATTATTATACTCTTTACCACCGTATCAATATCACAACACTATGCCCCCACCACAGCTAGATATTTCAAGTCAAAATCTACAACCAAATTATCTAAATATTTCATTGCCGTCTATAACACAAAATGACCCCAATGGCCATACCAATAATAATTATAGTCTTGAATAAACCATTAATTTATAAAAATGTATATTATATTTCAAGAATGTTTTTGTATTTTTTTTTTTATAATGTGTTAATAAATAATATTATATACTATTTTGATTACAAGATGTAATATTTATTAGTTTCTTATTAAAATTTTTTATTTCTGTTGTAATTATCATAATTTGTTGATAACAGATCTTTTAAGGTGTAAAATTTATTTTTATTTTTGTATTATTATTAATAAAGTAAATGACTACCTAATTAAAATATAGTACATAACACAAATAGGAACCTATATTAACTACTCACTTCAAAGTAATTGTCAAACGTTCTTCCGGTGTTATCGTATCATTTTTTATATTATCCAACTTTGATAAGTTTGGTTTGACGATACTCAACATTTCATCAAATGTTTGCGTAGACATGCGATAGAAGGAAAAAAACTTTGTTGGGTATTGACGTAAATCACCGTAAATTTGTTGAAATTGGCCTTTTCTTCTTCTCTCCCCGTTCAGTGGATGTACAGCGTATTTTCTTTTAGTAGTTTTTTTTTTCATCTTCTTCCAATCCTAATGCAATGGCTACCAGTTCAGCTGTACTGAATTCATCAGACGTCATATTTTCGATGGTTTAACTGTGGTTTAACTGTGGCTCTACTGGAGCGATGTACACAACAAAAGTAACTGAATAATGAATAGGTACTGCACGTGCTTGCCTATGGAATGTGAATGTTCGAGAACTCACCCCACAAGATGGGTATATAATTGTATAGATATCTAATTATAGAGTTATTGAAATAACTTTGGAACTATTCCGGAGCCAAATATATTGTACTATGTCAAAAATATGGTAACTATATTCGGAAAATCGCGGCGAAAATATAGAACGAATTCGTCACGCGAATTCGCTGTGTATAGCCAGACAGAACGATATTCGCCGCGAAATCCACTCGACGAATTTCGCTGCGAATATCGCCGTGTATAGCCCCAGCCTTAATAGCTATCTCAGTATCGCTAATACTATAGTATAGATATAGAATCTATTTCTCAGTTTTCAATCAAATTCCTGACTCTTTGGACGTTTAGTAAATTGTACTTACTGTTTAAATATTTTATAAAACAATAAAAATGAAAAGAATAAACGAATATTTTTCTAACTCACTAATTTATGTTACAATTAACTCGGAGGAACCAGGTAAATATTTAATACATTATATCAGGGGTCTCCAAACTACGGCCCGCCAACAAGTTTTAACCGGCCCGTGGCCCGCATATGTAAATATAGATAAAAAAATTATTTCAAAAATGTATTTATATTAAGGCGGCTCTAAACGATTGGATTTTTCATGCATTTAGACCAATAAGCTGGCGAAAAATACACATACTTCTAGTAGTCCAATTTCAATTTTGAATACTTATTTGGATTCGTTAGCCTCTTTTCTATGATCTGTAGGAAAAACTTTTTCATCTTTTTGTCTAGTTAGCACTTAAAAGTGCTAGTTAAATTTGAGAAATCAAGCAGTCATTTGGAACCGTAATATACGTAAATTATCTAAAATATCCAAAATCGGTTTCCTACAAATCATAGAAAAGAGGCTGACGAATTCAAATAATTTTTCAAAATTGAAATTGGACTATTAGAAGTATGTGTATTTTTCGCCAGCTTATTAGCATTTTTCACTGTTGTGAGTGTACAAAAATATTTTTCGAGAGTGATTACGTTGACTTGTGCATGCGCGTACGTGTGCTATTGAACCGTGTGCCCGCAGCCGGGCGATATAAAATCTATTGTTATCGAGTTCGAATTTCTTCGAATTTCACACTAATAATCATTTACGACTAACACATAGATTACGGGCGGCGACGACAAGATTAGAAATTGCCTAAATTGTTCCCCTTAAATAATAGCCACTAAGAGCCGCCTTAATATATTTTATTATATTTATACCTACTTATTTTTATTTAAGTATATTGTAAAGTAAACAATATTTTATACAAAAACATAAAGTAAACATATTATTTATATAGCAGGTAGGTACCTATATTATCATAAAATTAAAAATTATATGTGTTAATAAACTTTTGGCCCGCTAAGAGCATTTGATTTTTTTGTGGCCCTTGAATAAAAAAGTTTGGAGACCCCTGCATTATACATATTATCAACCTAGGACCTAGGTACAAAAAAATGATTAATATGATAAAAATAAATTTCTTTTTATACCTATCTTTTATTGAATTGTATATAATATATTATTATTTACATATTCTATGTACGCGTGTAGCTTTGTAGTTATACTAAATAATTACCTGTTTATTATCTAATAGGTTTATATTTTTTAAATAATAATCGAGAATTGTAAAAATATTTTTAATTTCACCTTAAGTCATTGCTAATGAGCTGATTACTCATTATGTACAAAATAATTACTATAGGTACATCGTTTTGATTTATCAATGTATAATATATATTATATATGTATATAATTTTTTATATGTAAGCCCCATTGAAAATAGCTGTGTACGCCACTGTGTATACCTACTCGTATTGAATCTGTTGGTAATATTAATATTATATTACAATTTATAGAAGATTTTGATGCCAGTACATACAGCATAATATTATATTTATTAGATAATTTGCTTATAGAATGTACATTATATTATTATTAACGATACAACCTTAATAAGCGCTACTAAACAATATTGACGGGGATTCTATATTACAGACCATAATCTAAAATAGGACACTTAATAAAAAAATATAAAATTATTGAGAAATGTGGAAATATCAAAATATCCTTGGAGATCTTTATTAAACATCGTTCTTCTCATAAAATAGCAGTCTTTTTGGTTTTTTCGGCGTTTCTTGTTGATAAAATGTTTTGGTTATCAGTCAAAGAGTCTAAGCATTCAATACAAGGTCCCTCGTGTGATTTATACACCAGTTACAACAAACCCAAATTCTACCAGTACAATATATAAACACGATTTCCACCAGTCACATAAATTAAATTTACACCAGCGTGTCGACGCTTAATAATGATATAAAATAAAAACCAAATAAATTACAAAGCATAAACGTTTATTAGTGTTAATGTATACACGATTACGGTTTTATAGCAATATTTATATATGTTTTATATATGTATATAGCCGGACACAAACTCTTGGAGCGAACTCGGGATGATCGTGCACGGTGACTTACTACACTGGCGCCATAAACGTGATAAGTGAGGGGGCAAACTAAACAAACTTTCAAACCAGTGCCCAAACACTCCTCAAAAACTATTTATACACCTAATGGTGTATGTCGCTGTTAGCACCACAGCAAACTATTCGCCGAGTGAATCTCTTCACTCGGCTCCATAGTGAGCGACGTTTAGGTCTGGCGGCTGTTACTGTAGTTTCCATTTCTGCAACATCTCCATGGCCGCAAAGTGATACAATTTCCTGTAAACTGGCGGTCTCCAGGTACAAAGGTTTTGTCAAACCATTTTTCGACTCTGTATCCCCAATTGACGGTGGTGCCACTTTCTGTATTGGACTAAACAGTTGAGGGTCGGATTCGACCGGCTTAAGCAGTGGGAAAGTTGTCGAGACGGACAACATCGTGTCGATGTCGATAAGTTCTGCAGCGACGGGTTTCATTACTGCACTGTTAGTTGTTTCCGCATACAATGAATCCAGCGAAACGGTAATTTCCGTGGACGGCATAGCATCAGGTGCATCAACTTCGGCATTTGTTAGGAATGCCATATCGGGCATCGATTTACATAATCTTTGAGCCTTTGAAATCTTGACACTACTAACGTCGACCGCTATCTGACGATTTTCACGTAGATCACTGAAAACTTGCATCATCAAAGCTGTTGAGGACTGCAAATCGATCTGAACGTCTTCGCTAGCGGAAATTGGCATGTTGGGTAACGATTTATATCGTCGATGTAGTTTTAAACTGGTGAGATCATTGTCTTGAAACCTTTTAGGGCGATTTTGCCGGAGATCGTCAAACACCTGTTTCATTATTTTAACAGCGGACTGTATTTGGGCTTCGGACGAATTATTCACTTCTGTTATATAAGACATAATGATAATCTGATATAGAACAAGGTCAATATATAAGACAATTTTACACTGTGTTATAATCAATCAGAGAATGATGTAAAAATATATTTACTGATTTAATAAGAACTAAACAGTTATACGCTGCCCATAGTTACAATATTTGTAATGTTTTTTTAAAACCAGTCAGTGGGGCCCATTATTTTTTTTGAAAGAATAAATAAAAAAAAATAGAGTGTGTTTGTAGTACCTTCGTTCAGGGGAAGTAAAACTTTTTCGCAGTTGATCGTATGAGTTGTGATGTGTAATAAAATATTAAATATCTAGCATATTTGTACGTATTCGGCTTCTGTATACCATTTTGTACATCTATAATATTTTGTAAGTATTGTATATTAATTGTATTAAATTATGTATCGCTGTACACTGTTTGAATGTATAGACATTACATAATATGTGGTTTTACACATTATAATAATTTACATGATAATAATATAAATACTAATTTAATAATAATTATTTCAATATTTAAAAAGCTTATTCGTCGTAATGAGTAAAATTATAATTACAGTAAACTCAATTTGTGAATAAATAATATCATAATATTATGTGTATTTATGGCTGTGTACATATTTATTTAAATTAGCAGGGTAATATAACTATAGACTCACTCGGACGACTATGTCCGAAAATACAAAATATTCTATTAAATTGTCATTTATAATTATATAATGTTTTCAAGAAGTAATAAGTATACATTACAAGGTATGATAAAAACTAGTACCTAGCTACAGTATAACCTACTGTTGGGTTCACTAATAAGACGTTTGAGAATTATTCTCTTATCTTTGAAGTAAAATGTTGTTTATAAATTCGTAATTCATAGATTATAACATGGTACTTATACTATTAAGTAGGTAGTATGTAAGGTACTCATTTTTTTCAAACCGTTTGAAAAAA